GGTGTCCAGAGGTCCAGATTTAAAACGCGGCTTGTTTGAATGATTATTTTGCCACCTAACCGTTCGGTCCAAATCGGTGCGCTAGGGATCATCCACAAAGAACGTCCGCCTTTTGCCTCTTGGCGCCTGATAGGTACGCAACATCTTGCCAGCAGTGCACGCCGGCCTGCGGTTGCCTACCCCGATTTTCGCAGGCGCTGAGCTCTAGTATAATTTGAACGAATCTTAGAAAAGCGGTCTTGTGTTATGGACGATTCCCCACACTGAAAACATTGTACACTGAAAAAGTAAAACGTCGTCGAAATAACGACAAATTTGTCGTTAAGTTATTTTAATGGGAAAAGTCGTTACATAACAGCATTGGGTTGTTGTAGAACAACATCGATTATTCGGTAACAACAAGAGTTGTTCAGGGACACCAAGAGTTGTTCAAGAACAACAAAAGTTGTTCAGGCGAAAAAAAACAACTGTCCAATTACAACAAAAGTTGTTCAGAAACAAAAAATGCTGTTCACCAGCAACGAAAGTTGTGGAGGGACAGTGAAAGTTGTTGAGGAATAGCAAAGTTGTTTAGGAACAATATTGCTGTTTTGCAACAAACATTGCTGTTTCGCAACAACTTTTATTGTACTCGTTCAACATGTTGCTTTTTTAACAAACTACCGGTAGCCATAAGTGTGGATACAGAGTTTACGAAACGCAAGCGTGATTTTCACGCAAAGCGTGATTTTTCACGCTTCGTAAGCTTCACACAGGCAATCAGGAACCGACTTTCAGCACGCCTAATAATCCACCTTTACAAAGGGTGTGATAATTTGACAATATTTTTTAACGTGCACTGATATATCAACGATCATCAATGATTGCTGATTTGGCAGCATACATTGTACACTGTTGAGATTTCAGAGATGTGCTAGATAGCCACACAGGGCAACCGCAGGACAGCCCCAAACCATAGCCACGCCAGCCACAGGACCATCATCTTCTCGTGGACACCGTCATCATCGATTTGGCTCAATTCCCAAGCAGTAGCAGCGACTCGCGCAAGGGGGAGGGGGG